TCCTATGTGGTTTGGTTTTGGGGTTTTTTTTAAAGTAATTTTACGCAATTTTGCCCTTTTTGTTCCTTTGTATAATGTCTAGCTGAGTGGGTACTGTTTGGGTGAGAGGCCATGTAGCTACCCTGTGTCTCATCAAAGTAAGACATTTCTTAGCAGGTGGTAAAAATAAGCTCAGAGTGCCATATAGTTAACACCTAAATGGCTTGCACAGTTGCTGTTACCTGTCCAACTGAATTCCCCATGGTAACGCTGGTGGTTACCTGCTTTTGGACTAGCCCTCAGGACAGACGCCAGGGTTTCCGATGTCCATATCGTTATTATAATTTTAAATTTTGAAGTTAATAAACTGAGGAAACATCTGGTTTGGGCAATTCTTGGCAACACTCTTTTCGTGGAAGTTCATTTTTATGACAAGTCTTGTGGTTTGTTTGCAAGAGTGCATATGTAACCATTTTTAGTGTACACTGAAGAGTTAGTTGCATTGCAAAGGCTGATTGCAGTATTTGTGCATACATTTTGAGTTAGGCACTTGTCCTAAAACATCCTGTGCATATCTCTTACGTGCCTTAATTTTTTTGTATGTGCACAGGATTTGTTTGCCCAGGTGAGTGATACGTTTGTCAGTACTTTGTTTAGAGCTGCATGAGATAAGTGCTTTAAAGTCATGATGAATCATTTTTTTAATAAGCAGATACACAAAAAAGTCAATAAAAATCTTCATTTTCTTTCACTCTTCACCGATCTGAATTCAGAGACTTGAGACATTTCATGTAACCCTGGCCTCTTAAGTCCTCTTCTGGTTGCAGATAAGCCAGTGGAGGAAGTAACTCCACCCTGCTTTCCTGCTGGAGCTCATGGACTTCCCACACCTCAGGCTGTATCCATCAAATAAACTAGCTTAATTTGAACAATTTTGAACAATTTCAGTAGTGTTTCTTCACTATTCCAAATAATTTTGACAGAAATGGGTTATCAAGCCATTGCACAAGCAAAAGAACTGGCAGCTGGGGATGGGCAGAGGTGCAGCTAGAGTGGGGCTTGAGCCAGCACGGTTGAAGGTGGAAAAGGATTGGCATTAGCTAGCATGTTTTGATGTTTCTATTTAAGGTTGCTGCTTGCTAAATTAATTTAAAAATAAATAAACTGTTAGTTTAAAAAACTGTAGGATGCTCAAAGCCTGTGCTTGCAGTGCTACATTCTCCTAGTGATAAGAGAGTTTCTTTAAACTCTAGCTTTCATGTGAGGAAAAAAAAAGTTAAAACTTCCAACCCTTTTGGTATGAGGAAGATTTGAAAATATAAGTCTTTATTGTGGCAATGAATTAAACTGTGATAAACCAAATAAATTAAATTCTAAATTTTCAGTGTAACAGGACCAGCTATAATAGTAATATGTGAAAAATGTGTGGTCTGGTTGTATGTCTTTACATATTAAAGGTATTCCAGTTGTCTTTTCATTTTTTATGTAAATAGTCACCTGTATTCATTTACATATTCCCTCAGCATTTTGAAATAGTGAGTCAACTCAACAAATCAGTTATTCAGAAAAATCAGACTTGTCACCCCACCCCCCCAAATGCAATGCAAAAATCTACTTTTGTGCTTCAAGAAGAGAAAATGTCTTGGGTTTTGTCTTTGTAGTACTGTGGACATAGAAATACAGTGTTACACAATTAATACAAAAGTCATGATAATGTATTGAGCGTGAGTATGTTGATTTGCTCCCACTGGCATTTTAGGAAGATTGCACCTGACTGAAGAGAGACAATTCATTTCTGCAATATATCAAAAATCTTTGGATGTGGTATAAAGCAGTGGATACAATGGAAAAGACAGACCCTGATGGCAATCCCAATGATACATATTCTTATACAAACATAACAGAGTTTTTAAATTAATTGTGTTACTTTGTTTTAGAGGTTACATGAATTTTAAGAGCGACTTAAGGAGTTTTTAGTGATTTTAGAGTATCTTGAAAGGAACTTTGTGTTGCTGCTGCAGGCAAAGCTGTCAGTCTGATTTTCAGAAAAAAGTTTAATCCCCTTGAACTTTATAGCAGAATGTGAAGTTACATTATCCTCATATGTTAACAGGAAGTGTAACTGATCTGCAGAACTGTTAAAGTCAGTAGCAGAAAATAATCTACTCCTTTGCTTCAGAGCAACAACGCACAAACTTCACTAAAATCTGAATTCCAGCACAAGTAATTCTTCAGCAGAAATGTCTCTGTTAAAAAACAACAACAACAAATCAAAACTTAAAAGAAAAACATTTTTTTCCTACTTGAAAAGAATTTCATTGACTATTTGCTGTATGGTCACGGGGTGAAAATAACAATAATAAAAAATTAAAAGTAAGGTTGTGCAGCAGAGAACTGAGACATTTTCATTTAAGTAAATGGATACAATAATATGTTTATTAAGTTTCAAGTTAGAAGGAAATGTAGGGACTAAATGTCATTATTTGAAAACAAAAAAATACAGGATGTATTCTAAATTGCTTTCGTTGGACTGTAGATTCTGGTTATGATTTGTCAGTATCACAAAGATTTTCTTTTAAAGGATTTTGTGCATGCTGTGTCACTTTTTTTCTGTGAAGTACTCTTACTGGTTTTGATACTGCTTCCTTGATTCTGGGTTTGAATGTATAATTTAGGACACTTCTTAGAGAGCTCAACATCCTTTGATCTGTTAAGTGAAGAAATCTAGGAAAGAAATAGGACTCCATGAGGATGCATAAGAACTCTTCTATGCGCTGTGTAGGCTCTGTAAGGTGCTATGGGTGAAATGAGTGAGAAGGTTGCTGTTTAGTAATTGAATGAGCAGAACTTGAGCAGAACTGAATGAGAATGAGGAAAAGGTAAGTACTTTTTAAGGATAGATCAATGCTTCTGGAACTTAATGGCATCATTGATTTGTGTAAGAACAAAAAAACCCCATCTGCCTGTTTAATGGTTTCCAGTAATGCAAATGAGATCTAACTCATTGATATCCCTTTGCATTATTGCCTTTCTAAAATCAGCCAGATGCGCATTATAGTGTACTTTAGTAACATGTCCAGTGTGCTGATGGTGCAGAGGTGCAGTAACCAGGCTCACGTTGGAGACTACAGCTGAAGCTTGCCAAAGGAATGCAACAAGACAATTGTGTAAATGGGCCACTTATTAATTTATTCAGTAAAAATTCTCCTGCTCTAGTGAATACCACTGTAGCATGTAATGACCCACAATGCTTCTTTGAACCCTTCCAAAATACAGTCACAAAGCAAAACCAATTGGGGAGGGGGGGAAGAAGCTAGTTCAGGGTTTCTGTCAGTTTCTTACTGGATTTCATTCACTTTTTTTTTCCACAAACAAACTGATGATGTGCTTGTCTGTTCTGTTTATTGTGTAAAATACCTGAGGGCAGATGAAGTGCTCAGACTTTCACACCTTTTTCTTATTGGCAGAAACTAATCGGTGTTCTCAGAAAATATTTTTAGAGTAGTAGCTTCTGAATTATCTGAGATACATGGTTCATCACATCTTCCTAAGTAGGTGTAACTTTCTCACATTCAATGTTTACTGTTGGATTAATCTTTCATGAATAAAATCATAGTGAGGGAGATTTGATAATGTTTTTGGCTCCCTCCCAGACCTAACAAATTCTTCTGTGTTTTTGCTGTAAGGTGGAAATGAAACTGCTTTGTTTCTGTCACTGTTCAGGATAACTTGCTCTAGCTATTTCATTAAGAAATCATTCAAAGCATCTAGAAGAAGTCTTAACTATTTCTTGGGGGGAGGGGTGTATTTGAAAAGAGCACCTTCACTAACAACTACAAGGAAAAGAACATGTTCAGAGCCTAGTGATACTTCATCATCATTCTGTAAATTACAAGACCGTTGCTGTCCTCCCCTAGAATGAGTGAGGGCATCTGTAGGTTAATTTATCTTCTCAGTGGCTAACTCTAGGTCGTTCTTGTGCTGGGAAGTAACCAAATGCCCAAGAACTTAATTTCCTGCAGCAGTCTTTCTCCCAGACATTTACCACAGGGACAGCCGAAGCTGCCTGGTGCACTGATTTCATGAGACGTCCAGCTCCTGGACCCAAACAGGCTATCCAACACACATTGGTACACGTCTTTTCTGAAGCATCTTTTTTATGAGAATTAATTAAAACCTCGAGTACACTGGTGCTTTATGGTTGAAACCCACCATTAAGCAATAGCAGAAGAGTTTTGTGTTGTAGTTAATAAAACTTTACAAGCAATTTTATAGCAATTTCAGGTTATTTGCTAACCGACTGGGGTGTATTTCATGTACTGCAGCCTTATTAGCTTAAGCAGAAGTTTCAGTGTGAATGCAAGACTTCCAGGTGCCAGCAATCCCACTAAATAATCAGTGCTGCCTTCTGATAACAAGATCTGGAGAGTTTTACAATTGTCAGTGTGTGGTGTTTTCCTTTTTTTTCTTTTTTTTTTAATTTTATTGAATCTCCAAACAGTACCATTTATCCTCCTGCCATTTTGTAACTGATAATGATCTATTCTGTAACAGTTCACTGTTCTTGGAAGATTCATGTTTGTCTATCCATGTATGTGTGTAGATATTGCAGACTGAATATCAAGAAATATGTTACATATTCAAATAAAACTGTGTGGTTTTGTATTTCTCACACATTTTATAATATTACTTGTCTCTAAATTGCCTAGAATTGTGTAATTGAAAACTTTGAATCTCTGGTGAATTTACACATGAAAGCCAAGCAAACTTGTATGAGAAAAATGAGAATAATTATGCTACCCTTCTGTAGAAGTTACCTGAAGCTATAAAAGTGTACAGGAAGGGAGGATGGAGCACATTTTTATACTTTGTCCCCTCTTTTATGCCGATAATGCTCTTTTTTCTGTTGTACTTCTTCCTAACCCACAGCCCATTTCCATTCCCAAGTCTTCCTTTCTCTTTTCCTCAGTGGGATGATGGTGTCACTGTCTTGCATTCCTGTTGTTTCTCCCTGTCTATAGCTATCTTAATGATTTGGACCGCATAGCAGACTCCACCTATCTGCCAACTCAGCAAGATGTGCTCAGAGTTCGAGTCCCAACAACAGGGATCATTGAATATCCATTCGACTTACAAAGCGTCATTTTCAGGTAGAAAAAAAGTTTTAACACCCACTTGCTTTGTTTCTTTGTTTCCTTTTACATTAGTAATACCATGTATAGGATATAGGTTAAAAGTGCATAAAAAGCAATTATTCTATGTTTTTAAAATATGGGCTTGGTCATTATATTTTCATGTAATTGTCCACATGTAATAAGGAGCTGATGTTAAAGATGTCAAAAGGATGAAAGACAATTAGGTTTGTCTTTTTCTGAAGGTAGTTATTACTGATAGAAAACCTGCAATTCATCTTTTCAGTAATACATATCAAAGTTTCACTATGAATAATATTCTGAAAATACAATCATGTGTCCTCATAATTCTTGTAAATTATGAAATACAAATTTACCACTTATGTTGTTGATTTTTAGGCAGAAATTACTCTCCTTTTGAGAGAAATCTCCCTACTTGAGTGCAAGTATACTTGTTTAAAAAATAACTGAAATTGCAATTGCAAGTTAGACACCTGTATTTAGTTACACTGAGACATGGGATAAAGTGGGAATACACTGTGAGCAAATTGGAGTTTTAATTTTGGATATTAAAAATTTTAGTAGATACATATTGTGTTCTATTGGTCCTCTTAAAATGGGGCAGCTTTAACAAGTTGGGAATTTTGACTCTGGTAATTTGGGGGGGGGGGGGAAGGCAAACCACCAAGTCTGTTCTGTTCACATCTGTTTCTGCTGAATATGCAGGGCATACATTGCTGAATCATGGCTCATGAGACCTTTTTATGTCACAAATCTGAGGGGTTTGAGACCCACAATAATTTAAATACAGAAAACATAGCAGACTTAAAAGCAAATATGATTAACTGTCTACTTATAACAGAATCCATTAAAAATCAATGGAAAAAATCATTAAGAAAAACAAATCAAACTCTGTTTTCAGCTAAATTCTTGAATTTTGTTGTGTGTGTGCTTGTGTGTTTATCTGTTAAGGTATTCATGGAGTTGATGTGGATGTTAATTTTGCAGAATGGTGGATGTAGGAGGCCAACGATCAGAAAGAAGAAAATGGATACATTGCTTTGAAAATGTCACATCTATCATGTTCCTAGTAGCTCTTAGTGAATATGATCAAGTGCTTGTGGAGTCAGACAATGAGGTAAGCAAGCATCAGCAAAAAGCAGCAGTTTTAAAGTAAAAGTAACTTCTCTTGTCCAGTCCCAGATGTTTTCCAAATGCGTCTACCAGCAGTCATACACAGCTGCACCCAATGGAATGAGAAGCACTACAGGGATCAAGAGGGGAGGAGGGAATCAATCTTCAAATATGGCAAAGCTGATCCGCTCCATGGAGGTTTCAAAGAAACCTATCTATTTTGTGTTGAAGGGGAATACAGTTGAATACAGAGAAATGTTCTTAGTGTAGCTATTTATGCAGTTAGTGTTAATGTAGCAGAGCCACAAAAATAGGTCGTGGAAATGAAGACAAAATTTATAAATTCTTTGCTAGAACAAACCCTAAAGTAGTAAACTTCATTCCTTTGACTTAAAGCATAGGATGTATATTGTATTTTTATTTCAAAAAATAACAGAAGTAAGAAAGTGGATGAGCTGAGGGGGCAAAGCACACTAATACTCAGTATTTTGAATGCAGTTTTACAGAGTGGGGAGACGATTTAATGTTTAGATTTTTTTATCTTTCCTGAGGACTATTTTAAATTATTCATCAAACTTTTATACTCACTGGCGTTGTCCTATGGAAGTCTTTTAACACATACTTACGAAAGTTAGGTGAAAAAAAAGAAAACATTTGAATGTTCTTCATGGCTGCATACATGTTGTTTAAGAGAATGGTTGGCATAACAAGGTAAAACAGATGTCCCTGGACATTCATGTTTGTATGCTGAACTTTCTTCAGGATTCATTTTTTTAATAAAGTCTAGGACTTCTCAAAGCTGTTACATTTATAGTCTTTCCATAAAAGAAAAATACTGTTAATGTGAGTTATATAATCAACTATGTCATTCAAAGCTGAATTTAAGAAAATGATGATGTAATCTGCACCAACTTCATCTCTTGCAATTTTGAAAGCTAGACGTGTAGATAAAAAGACAACTCGGTCAAACTTGGCTCACTTCAAGCCAAGCCAGAAATGGTTGTATCTTTTTCTGTTTGCATTAGTCTTTTGTAGCCACAAAGTCAACATAGAAGTATTAAGTATTTTAATTATACAAGTCAAAACAAAATATATTGGAAATCAAATACAGAAAAATTAATTATGATAATTTTCAAATGCTATTCTAACTATCAAAAATAAGCTTCCAAACTTTCTTATGTTAGCTATTTATCACTGTGTTTTCATACTGTCGGTCTCACAGGGAGTAGTTCTCGTAGGAACTGTCTCACAGGGAGAGGTTTACTAGATTCTGATTCCCTGTTGAGCGTGTCCTGTTCTAGATAGGTGGCTTGCTCAGACACTTGCTCTCGTTTGTCAGATAACTTCAGTGTGCATATCATAACTTAGAGCATCCTTACTGTAGAAGGTGGAGCAATATCTTCCTAGGCTGAATCATTTGGAGTATCTTGCTCTGTGTTCTTGTAAGCTAGAAGAGTTCACGTGTTGTGAACTGAATAGGACATCTCACTGAAGATTTCCTTTATGTTCTGGGCTCTCCAATGAAGTGATACCTGAAGCTGTGATAGCTTTTCTATAACTACTTTTCAACTATTATGAAGAAGATCACTTTACTTGTAAAGCTGCTTAGATTTTTCAAGTTTTCACTTTCAAAACACTTCTTGGAGGCAAAAGCTGTAAAACTCCTCATTGTCTTGCAAAATGGTTCTTCCACCTCACTGCTAAACTATGTTTCTTATTAACAACAGTGGAAAACTTCTGAACCCTTTTGTCTTTCAGTTTAAAGTATGTTCATAACTTTAATTCAAACCAGTTTTTATTTTCAAGTCATACATGCATACATACCCTAGTAGCACGTTCCAGCAGCCTTAGGCTTGTATTACTCTAGGTCTGGGATGGATCCAGACTGTCTTAGAGCTAAGCACCCATCTGGACAGTTTAGTTTTGGCTTTCAGCAAGCTGAAAGCTATCTGTCAAGATTTTGTTGGTATACCAGAGAACTGCTTCCTTCCCTTCCTTTTTCCCCTTCCCTGTATCTCTAAACATTGCAGTCCCAGAACACATGGGAGAAGAATGGGTTTATTTATTCTGCATAAAGCAAAGTATAGTTTGTCCGAATGTGGGTGTGGCAGAAATACAGGAAAAGGTTTTAAATGTGTTAGTTGACACCTTGAATTAAGAAATATAGCCCCAAAAAAGATTTTTATTCTTCACTGGGATGTGACAAGCTCAGTAGGGAAGACAGTAACTTAACTTGGAGACTTTGGTAATCAGCCAAGACATACTTTTCACACTTATCTTTAAATTGTGAAACAGTATTAAAATTATAGCACCAAAGTGAGTGTGTGTCAGTGCCCTACTTTCTTTGTATGCCATCAGTGTGATACTGTGATAGAATCTGATCCTTCTTTGATCTGTGTGCCTCTTAATGAAATTAAAAGATCTGACTCGACAACTTGCAGTGTTCTGCTACTCCTTTTGCATGGCCTGATTAAACAGTATGACTTTTGTAAGATGGCCTACTTTCTTTTTCTAATTAGTCCACTGCATGTTATTGCCTGAAGTCTTTTTCCTCATAGTATGTTTTTACAAAGAAAACTGTGCTTTTTAATCATCTGTGGCATTCTTCTTAGTTAATAACATTTTTTCATTAATCTCAGTTTCATGAGTAAACATAAATCTGCAAGAATTATTATTTGCCATTTAGTGCAGGTATGTTCATGTGACCCTTCATCATTATGAAACTGGTTTAGAGCCCTTAAGACTCTTGGTTTGTATTTCAAGATGTAGTGCCTGATAGACTCTCAGCTGTAAATCCATTTGTTCCCTTGTTTATCTTATTCAAGAGAAATAGATTTGAATTATAAATCAGATGAGGCTATACTGAGTTGACAGACTTTGCTAGTGTCTCTCCAGGGCTTTTACTTACTGGGTATGTGTGGGATTGAGCTGGGAACTGTTTCTGTCTTCATGCCCGTGGAGGAGTTTAGTATTGAAAGTTCTGAGAAATATAACTACTCTGTAAGGGGACATCATACATAGAAAATAAGACAAGTATTCAGACTGCCTGGTATTCAGAGTCCTGTGTAGAATGACTCTTAAGTGATACATCCATGAAATTGCACTCCCATGACAAAGATCTGCAGCTAAAGAGGTGTGGGTTTCAGTCCTGAAGAAAAGCACGCATGGCTGCCCAACAGTATTTTAACTATGATTCCTCTAACAGGCAGTACTCAGAAACAACATCATCTCTCCTCTCTTAAGTATGTGTCTAGATCATACATAACTAAGCATCTGATTTTGGTGCATAAATACAAAATTAGAAGAATTGTTAAGGACAGTATATTTAAACATATCGTTCAAAAATTTCAGACGATGTACAGTTTTGAAATGCCTTTCTCTTTTTAAATATATGTAAAAGGAGAGATAGCTAACTGTTCCAAATTCTGCCCTTAATAAAACAGTAAGTCTGTCTAGATTCATTGGTGGAAATCAGGACAAAATTTGATCCAGAGGACATAATATGCTAATTACATTAATAGTACTGTAAATTAAGTAAATCGTCCCTCAGTCAGATATGATGTGATGAAGAACATGTTACAAGTTAAATTATCAGATACTTGACCTTTTCACTTTTTCAGAAAAGTCTGACAGAATTAGAGGTGAGACAAAAAATGAAGGAATCATCTCTCTGGTAAGTTAGTTTATGATGTATTATGTCCTCTAGGTCAGGCTTTTGCTCTGTATTATTCCAGCAGATCTGGAGAAATTTGCAGTTTTATCAAAAAGAACAGTTTAGAACTTTTCAATTTTTAAAATCAATTTGTTTTCTTAAATAAAGGATTTTTTTCTAGATAAAGTGTATCAATCCATATTCCAGGATATGCTGCATTTAAATATGTATCGCAGGTAGCTCTTCTAAACATATAAAATCTCATGGTCTCAGTGCAATAAATGCAAAAATGAGTTCCAGCTTTATAAGAGAACCAGTAACCACTTGCAGTTATGGAAGGACTGGAGACATTACATACCTGTAAAATCTGGTTTCATAAAAAAGAGATTTTCATTATCTTTGCAGAGCTTGTTAAGTACTTCGAAATGGCAAAATAAAGGATGGTATTTATTGACGCTTGTACATATTTTTCTTCTGCATTAAGGCATATATGATTTCATATAGCTTGTGTAGGTCTATGGTGGTTATGAAAATGTGGGCTTTTTATAGGTAGAGTTCCTTTTTTTCTGTGCTCCCAGAGGAAGAACAGAAAAGACAGGATGCAGTTTCCTCAGTTCAGCTAAATTAATGGATTAATAGGCTAAGAGAATTTTTGAAAATTTCTAAACTATCAAAAAGCAGATACTGTCTTTCCTGAGGTATCGTCAGAGGCTGCAAAGCTACAGAGGCATTGGACAGCATAAAGTACTCACTATTAAAAGAGCATTTTTAGAAGTAAATCAGTATGAGTATTTTGAACATCCATTGCACAAAATAAATTGGGGGAGAAGTGCCAGTTTAGATTATTTTGGTCAGAGCTGATACATTTTGGTTTAAAAAAAAATAGAAATACAGTTGTAAAATGTGAAGTTTTAAGAGGATTGGAGATAAATGTTGCTAATACTTACAACTAATATTCCTTCCACTTTGACTTTTGAGTAAGGAATTTCACTAATGCCCAGCATTATAAATACATACTATGTATCCTAGATACATATGAATATCTTATATATGCATCTCTGTGCCATAGGAGAACAATGATTTTTTTCATTATTTTACTTGTTAAGCAGTTTCTCTTCACTGGTGAATGAAACCACGTATAAAAGAACCATTGAAGTGCCTCTTCCTTTGTTAAAATAGTAACATTAATATAACTTTAAAAACATGTTTTTCATACGGTGGTTTATTTGCTGGGTTTTCACTGACCTTGAATAACAAAGCAAATAGAACCTATTTTTCTGTTAAGGTCTAATTCATTTATATATCCTATCCAGACAGGTAATTTGCAACCCTTTGAAGAGGTTTATTAAGAA